ACGTGATACCGGAGTCAACAAGCATACTTTTAGAATTTGATTAAAAGGGAATATAATATGGAATCGCGTATCTAAAGAAATTAATAAAGATATAATTATATTCATGTACCGCAGCACAAGAATAGTACACGCTGTACATTGTCTGTTGATAATGTTTCTGTAGTGCTTTTTCAGCACTCTGCATGTGACCTTGCTGTTAGCTACTTCGATTTCCCTTCGGTGGTAAAATTCCATATAAATATTCAATACTACAACGGGCACAGTAAAGACGTTTACTGTAAATCTTTCTACAACAGACCAACGGACCACGAGTGCCCCTGTCACAATGCGCGACGCAATAGCCAATTACCTCCGGTACGTGTGTGTACCGCGCACTTTGAATGGCTGCATCTGTAGATCTAAACACCCAACAAAAAAATACAAAATATTGTGACCTACAAAAAAACATTCTGACATTCTGAGCATTCAGAGACTCAACATGATATGGCGTTACACTACTACCACAGCCTTTAGCACCAAATAAATGTGACACAGTTGATAGAAATTCTTTGAGCAATAAAATTAGGTCCAAAAAGCACAAGTTAAAGAAGAGAGAATGCATGGAATTGATTGGAAGAGAAGAAAAACTCAACAGCATTGCTTTTAACCTGAACCTAAATTAAATAAGTTTCATAAAAATAAAAAGTAAAGCTGGCTAACCTTATGACACTTGTAGTAGTAGGCGAGGAGTTGGGGCATTCTGTCAATCTCTGTGAAGACTTTCACAAACAGTTTGGCTTGATCTAGCAAGAAATACAGATCAGTAAGACATCACATAATGAAGTTTAACCCTAGAACACTATGTACTGAAGTACTATGTACTTCATGCTGTTTCTACCCTAATCATTTAAAGTCCACCCATAGACTATATTGTCTATGTCTATATTGTTCCTGATTTCTCTAACAACAAACCCAAAAGACTTCAGCTTGGCAGAATGCTCCTGCTGGGTTAATTCCTGGTTGTTCCCCAGTGCTGTGATCTTTACACCAGCTTCTTGTGAGTTCAGATACAAAATGTTGTTAGCTATACCATCTTAACAATCTGTCATTTTCATGACTAGTTTTCTGCCATCCCAAAGATTTCATGCACATTTCATACACAAAACATTTTAACTTATTTTCTACAGTAGCCTTAATCAGATATAAAGAGCAACTTAAAAGAAAATATTTTTTATTTTACAATGTCACTATATTTTATTGGCAACACAACTTGAGTTTGAAATTTAGGTTTGTCATTTTTTCTGCTATTCCAACCTGAATTAAGAGAGAGCCCCTTCACACTAATCCCTACCCTGCCATTGGTGGCTCAGAGTCAGTTGCCTGCTGATCTTTGGGGACTCCTGGTCACAGCGGGCTAGCGACATGACCCGTGGCTGGACCTTGTCATATCCTGGCATCACCAAGTTCAGCCTTTTCCCTCCTGAGCTATCTTCTTGCATGTTCAAGTTTGCTAGTTTCAGCTCAGTATTATTGCGCTGCAGTGATGTATCTGTTTTGCTACCAGTTTTTTTTCCAGTTGCTGCTCTGCACTCCTGGTTGAATGTAATGTGAATGATCATAATAGGTCTCTGTGAGACTTATTAAATGAGACTCTTACAGCAATACCATTCTCCTAGTACTCTCAAGAGCCCTTGTGCCAGGGGGCATGTTTTGGAGTGTTGTGTTTAATCTCAATTGGGCTGTATGGATCAGGAATGATTTGAAATCTGGTGTCCGACGACCATACACACCATTAACATATTGGATAATTTATGCAAGTCATTTATATCACTAGGCCTCTATCATTTACATGCATTCATATTTATACTCCCTTCTCAAATGCTGCAGGAGATCTCATCTGGATTACAATAAACCCTAAATGTGCCAAATTAGAAAACAAGTCAGAGTCCAAAACAAGTCAGAATGTTCTCCGTGTGACTGAGCTAAATCAGCATTTATCTGCCAATGAAACTCGCAGCTCCCATACTGTTGCTCTACAGGAAAGTGGTTCCAGACCCCAAGACAAGAAAGCATGATGCTCCACAACCACTCACCAGTTGACTGTGAATTAAATGTAGCAACAATCTGTGGGCTGGCTAAAGCCTCCAGTCTGTTTTTCAGTGCTTCTAAGTGAACACACTTCTCTGAGTAATCAGGGGTGTCTGCGAGCATTGCCAGACTGCTCGTCATGCTGGTCAGCTTGGAGGAAATAACACTCAAGTCCTGCAGGGGAAGCAGAAACATGGTCTCTCACTTTCCAACAGAGTGCTTTAACGAGGCCAGAGATTCATGCTTGGACTTCTTGAAAATCTGCAATGTGGCAGGATCAAGTGATAAAGAAATGGTCAAAAACACCTTGTCGCTTTCCCATTCACTAATTTTTCATCTTCTTACTGTAAATATAATTATAATCATCTCCTAGACTATGAAAAAGCCTGAAACAGGACGTGACAAAAAAATAATAATTTTCTAATCTCACAGACAACCACAAAATGATATATAGAACATTTAAATTTAAATACATAATATATTACAGTTTATATAGCTGAACAGACAATCTACACATGACAGCCTCAGAATACTCAATTAAAAAGTGAAACAAGTGAGTTTCCTATTCCGAGAAACTTCTGTAAAGTCGAAAGTTTGTTAGGTTTAATTCGATTTCAGGGAAAACCGGTTATGTTTCATTTGCTTTCAGGACTGCTGCAAGATGCCCACGCCCAACCTCCCTTGGAAGACATTCACCTGTGTCTTGAAGGTCTCTTCAATGTCCGCACTCAGAGTGCTCCACTTGTCAGCCTCCTGCAAAGCCTCTGCGGCCAGCTGCATCCGGGATTTCACTTGATCGATCTCCACCAGTACCTTGGACACAGAGATATACCACTTTCAGTTTCTCCTAGTGAAAAGGGAAAGCTTCTGCACTCACACGGACAAAATGGTTTTTTTTTGTTTTTTTTGGAAAGCATGTCCAACAACATCACTACATTATTACACGCCCAGCATCCTTCTTCTCTAGGACCAGACAGAGATCAAACCCTCTCAGCACCTTGCTCAAACCACCGAAGCTTTCTAGATTGCCCTCTAAGATGCATGCTAAATATTTCTTTCCTTCTTTCTCGTTTTTAATGTACACCTGAGAAAATGTTCTGCAGCCTATATGTTGTGTATTGTATTATTTTTACTTTTTGGTGTGGAAGTATCCTCAACTACCTCTTAACACTATCTAAAGGGTGAATGCCAACTGTCAGATATCGAACCTCTCAGTCCTCCAAGCTGAAAAATGTTATTTCGTGTTTTTACACAGAATTTAGAGCCTTTTCTATTTTTACCTTTTCAATGAAATTTACGGGCACTGTTTTCTTCAATATAATGAAAATACTATTCTTTGAAAAACTATACTAGTGGTTAACCTAAACCCACAATGCCGCAAGTTCAGGCTATATTACTATGAAAAGCACTGGGAAAAAATGAAAAGTAGCAATTTCAGTCAAGATTTCTGAAAGATAGCCTGTTCCTGAGAAGACTATTGGTAATGACATATCCAGCAGATCAGGCAACATTTGTAGTTTCATTCTAATGTGAAAATCTGGCAGTAGAATTGATCACAAATGGCTTTCAATATCTAAATAAAACAATGTAATTAAGTATAATGGAAAAGGGAGATCATTCAGACCTCTTTTAGCAGTATTATCTGAATGGATCAGCTTTACTAATCCACATGCTAAACAAGATACAGATCACAATGACACCAAAGATCTCACTGTTTCTATATATGGCCTGACCACAGCCGTGCTTTGATGCACATTTTCAAATTTCCTCTGTTCTAGATTTTCGGTAACTTGTCAGAAGACAACATGAGTGCCTGTGAAAATAGCAGTCAGAGCTGAGTTCACCCTGTGACTTCAGTTGACCTCAGATTGCAAGATTTTCTTTTTTTTGTCAGGACTAACCCACAAAAAGGGGTTCACTGTATTATTACACAAATAGTACAAGACCCAATTAAAACATTGTTTTAAAATATAACTAACATGTACCCACTAGCAATGAGAGGTAAAAAAACTAATTAGCTACATAATTAGAAGGAAACCACAGAACCTATGAACAGAAAAGGACTCACTAGCAACCTTGTGGTAAAGATGGATGTACAAAGTTAATCATACCTGTATAGCAAGTATAAAGTAATTGTGTCTTGACATTATATACACACTTGTAGCTCAACCAAATCACTGGAACAACTCTAGAATCTAAGACGCTTCTATGAATCAAGATCAATGTCGGAGTACAGGTGGTTAAAGACATATCATACAAACAGCAGACTTCTAGTGGCAGTTTTAAAAAGGCTATGATTGTGTTGTGCATACTGATGAATGTAAATGGAAAATTCCCTACATGGGGTTAAACAATCTTACACTGGGGGTCCTGGTCTTCATGCCCTCTCTGATCTTATTTAAGTGAATTAGTTTTTTTGCACAGAAGTCAAAACAGCTATTTTGGATTTAAATCAGGTGCCATTTTAAAATTACCCATAGTACAAGTCCTACAAGATTCCAGGCCTTTTGCCTATTTCTGATGGACAAAAGATGACACAACAATTGGCCCAACATTTATTTAGTGATTTAATTTTACTTAGTGACCCCAGGTCATTTAAAAATCTTCTTTGGTAGTACAGTACCTGCATGGACTGGACTGTGTCCTGTTCAAATTTTCTTATGTCTTCCTTCACCAGGACCATCTGCTCCTTCAGGAAGGAGGCCTCCTGCTTCAGAGCCTCGACATCCCTCAGCACCCTGGGCATGTTCTGCAGGGCCTGGTTGCTGCTCTCTGTGCAGACCCAGGGGAAACAACCTTTCACAGTAATGCTTAGAACAAGGCCAAAGCCCACCTCCAAGCTCTGGTGTGCCTCAGAAGCTGCAGATGCCCATGTGTCAACAGGTCTGTCCTATCAAACCTACCAATTGAATGCTTCCTGCCGAGGATCACACTAAGCATAACTAATTTAAGACAATTATTGAATCAATGAATTGAGAGAGAACCTCCGTGTAACGAGTAATAAGAGGGAAGAGGTTCTGTAGCTCTCCAGCACCAGTTTGAAGTTCTTACAACCTTTTTCACAGTACACAGTATAATGGGCATATCTGAATGTGAGCAAATTTAACTGAACCTAATCTCTATTTGTACTTAATGTTATTTTAATGTTCCTATTTTTCGGTTTGTTTAGCAGAATGTGTAAAGCACGTCCACAGTAGGCTAACTCGTCATTAACTGCCACTGCAGTTTTGTGGAGGTATTATTGTCCTTTGTCATTGTTGACTACAAAACCTTCAGCATGAGGAGTGAAGAACTCCGATCTAGAAAAACCAAGTGGGTACATGCTGGAGTGGCACAAAAGTCAATGCTGTTGTTAAATGCCTACTACCTTCAATGGCGTTGTTGACCTCCTGAATGAAGAGCTGAAGCTTCATCACCAGTGTGGCAGCGTGCCCATCTGCCTTCCCAGGAGCCTCCTTCTGCACCATCCGGAATGCCCCGTTCACCCACTCCTTCACGTCAAAGTCATCGTCCAGAAACTTCGAAAAGTCCATTGCTGCTGGCTCTAAAAAGCTACACCTTAGAAGGATGCTGATCACAACACATTCCGTTACCCAATGCTCTCTGCTGCTGAAGTGCTTGGGCTTTCTGTAATTTTCAAAATAATGAAAAGGGACATGATATGAAACAGCTCAAAGGTGCAAAGCATACTGAGAGCAATGTCTGAGCAGAAAATGTCTTTGCTATCCTCTTTTCTGGTATTTAACTCTAAATTACTGAAGCTCATCAAAACCTTTTTGAAATATTTATTTTCTATTTATACATAAATATTGTACATAAGCCTAATTATACTGCTTCCTTGAACCATGTAATTTGGGTATGTCATCAGAATTAATTCCATAACACTTAATAACACACCATGTACACTGTTCTCAATGAGCAGGTGTCTGGAAATTAAGCTGACAATATGCAGAATTAATGATTGGTATTATGAAAGAATTCAACCTCTGTCTGTTTATCTTTAACTGGCAACCCATTAAGAGCTGTATACATTTAAACAAGTACGGGAAATCAAGTTTGTAAGTTGAATACAGCAGAATTCTGTAGGAAACATTCAGAAATTAGTTGAGTTTGAAATTCAATAAAGCTCAATAACTACTGTAGGTTCTGCAAGAAACAGGATCACTGCTCTACACAGTGCTCAACAAAAAAAAAGCAAAAAACATTGTTGATCGTGTTGAATAATAACAGTTAATAAACTGTGGTCACTTGTCTATAGGCTAAAGAGAAGGAATTATACACGATCTATCTGGAAATACTTCTGTATTCGAGGTGCGTCACTCATAGTATATCAATACCAGTCCGATTCAGTAACTGTAAGTGCCTCACAAAATTTTACTTTTCGTTAACACTACGATAACACTTAAAAAATAGAAACTGCAGGTACATCCATTAACACACGGACAAAAACAATGGAGAGGTAGATACTTAAAGCACAAGTTCAAAATGGAATTAAGTCTGAAAATTGAATGTTTCCAAAACAGCTTTCAGCAACACGGCTGCAAATAAGAATTTAAAGATTGTGATCTCCCAATTTCAAACATTTCTACAATACCAGAACAAAAGCCTTTCCACTTTCTTCGGTTTGTGAACTGTATGGGCTGTAGATATTTTATTTCAAACTACCTTGTCAGTGTTTCAGTGCTTCAGCGGATTCTGTAGTACCATCAGAGGTCTAGAGACGAAAATGGAATAAATTATCCAAGACAACGAAATTAGCATAACAGCTATGTAAAGTTCGATCAATGCAACAGCGTCAGCCAGAATTAAGTGACAGATAAGCCTGACTTTCTTGAGAAGTCCTTAATAAATGTCAATTTTTAAAAAATCTGTCAGCTTCCACGTCTTTGACAGCTACTTCCTGAACACGTTAAATCAAGAGTGCTGAGAAACATTGTCTCGGTCTCTTTGGTTCCTGTTACTGAATACAGGATCCGGAATAAATACGTTAACCTCCAGTTTATTTAATTTTTAAAATCTCCGAAAGTATATCATTGTATATATGTCACATACAATTATATTTCTTATTATTTCGATTTTGTGGGAAATATACAAAACCTACAAAATGTTTGACGTGGCTGTGTGTTGCAGATATTTTGGTCCGACTAGCGCACGTTTATTACTTCATCGGCCCTAACCCGTTGACAGTAACTCCATTTTTAAATTGATCTGGCAGGTAAATTAACAAATTACAACGTTTGCTTTCAATGGTAGATTTATTGCGTTCCTGAAATGACATTTTATATTTTTAAAGGTTTTGGTCTGCACCTTTTTATAGATATATCAGTCTTCAACATGGGAGACTGCTGGAATTGGTGTTAATGGGCCAGGAATTGGTGTTAATGAGCACACAAGGTGTGCTCACCTTGTGCTCTGTGTGGGCCCTAATGACCATGTATAGTGACGCGCACATGACTGTAAAAAAGGCGCCATTCATTGGATGAAATGTAGAGCTCTGTGGACATTAAAAATCCCAGGGTGTTTCTCAAAAAGAGTAAGGGTGTTAATCCTGGTGTCCTGGCCAAATTTACCCCTGACCTTTATCAGTCATGGCCTCCTTATTATCCCCATCTATGAATTGGCTTCATCACTCTGTTCTCCTCCCCACTTAATGCTGGTGTGTGGTGAACATACTGAGCTGCCATCGCATCATCTAGGTGGGGGCTAGACATTGGTGGTGGAGGAAGGGAATCCCCATTACCTGTAAAGCAGAGAGGAGTGTCCAGAAAAGTGCTGTATAACTGTATAACTGTCAGGATTATTGAAGGATTATTGTTTTCTTAGTATTTCCATTTAATCTTTTTCATCCACTTTAAGGCAACAAGTTGTGACTAGGTAATTGTCATTACTAAATAATAAGGACTGCTGTCCATAGAATGCTAAAAAGCAAAGATGTTCACTGAAAAGAAACTTGTTGTGCTTCATCGTGCTGAGATGTTGGAGATGAGTTTGTTTTAAATAAAATTTTTATAATGGTACCAAGAATTAATTTCTGCTAAAAAGTTAAAGGGACTGAATATCTAAATAGAATGAATTATAAGAAGGAAAATTCAATTATTTGAGACCTAAAAGGAAAGTAGTTGAAATTAACTAACAATCTATAAACTAATTAACAAATAAACTATCAGTGAGATTGTGAGATCAGAACGCACTTCTTGACAGTGAGAATCAGTGATGTCTCGAACGTGGTGCCCTGTAATGTTGTTAAACTGATTTCCCTGGATTCTTTTTGGAAATGACTGGATCAGATTCTTTCATCAAGTGACCTTTTAACAACAAAATTAGAAAGAGAGGAGAAATTGCCTCCTGTTTTCTGTAACTTACTTTTTTATTCTCCTCAGTTCTTAAATATTACCCCATTTCTTATAATACACAAGGGAAATTCACTAACCCGTGTCATCGAAGGTGTTAAAACACAAGTGTATCTAACAGTGAGAAACATCCTAGTGCGGTTTCAAAATATGAAACAAATAACAGAGAATCTTAAGGGAGAGATGCCTTTGTGTTTTGGTTTTGATTGTCAACACCAAGACCAAGAGAATGTGTTAGTGTTAGAATGAGATAATCTAATTTTACTTAACCTTGGTTACTTTCTTTTTGCTGTACATAGAGTCAGATACAGAAGTATTATTTTTGAAACCAAGTCATTCAACATTACGGTTTATCATAGTACTGTATTTGTTTGCTTTAATTTGTTTTTTAATTCGACGTCAAGTAACCATATTCATTAAAGGATTCAAATTAAAATATTATGGTTACTCAACGGTGAACTGTTTCAGATTTCTTCTAATAATAATAACATTTTTCACTGTCCTTAAAGTCCTTCACAGCTTTGGACTTTTGTGTTTACACTCCCCTCCAAATTTATTCCCCATACCTTTGAACTAGGAACAATAAATGTAAAAAAAACAGAAAGATGTACAGACTAGATTATGTTTATTGCTAAAATAAGTCTAAAACTGTAATAGCATTACATAACAATAACAGTACATAACAGTAAACTTAATAGTATTGCACAGAGTAATGCCGTGTTCCAAAAGTGGCACTAAGCTCTTCCTGCAGGACCTCACTTTTGTGACATACTGTAGACAGGTGTTGACTTAAGCTGCGTGACCATTTGAGGGTGCACTGTTATAAAAAGGGTCTTGGGATATCCTTCATGACATGGCTCAGTGGTTACGATTCACAGTCTACATAAAGTAACCTTGACAATATCTCTCTCTGATTATTGAAAGCTTTGTACTATTAAATACTCCATCTTTCCATGTACAAAATACACTGTAGGTTAACAAATATTCATCAGTCAAAATGGGGTAGTTAACAAAATAATCTCTTTATGTCAACACTTCACACCGAGAATACGTGTGAATCTAAAGCAGCCTAATGAAATTGTTTGTTTTGATCTTATCTTGTCTTAAAACTGTAAAACTATATAATATTTTCTCCATGGCAACTTCATTCCTCTTTGATATGTCAGAACGTGAAAAGTCACAATTTTGCAAGGCGTTTGTGGCAAAACAGGCCAAAAGTCAAGTCTGGTCTGGTGAGAACTTGAGAAGGGTGCTAAAAGTGTTCATTGGAGCTGCCTATGAGCACCCCTGTGAAACACAATTTAGAAATAGAACACCCTAAACCCTAGCAGACCCTTGTGGGAACGTGCATATGAAGTTAACGAGACCGCAAGCCTGGATACTGGGACACAGCCTAAGTCATATTTGTCATAAATATTCATTTTAAGTCTAGAAAATCTGAGTGTATTTATTTACATCTTTGCAGTTAGAATTTTGTAAATGCTCCTCTGGCAGGGATTACTTTGATTAGACACCTCCTGTAGTGTGCTGTAAAGCTCTGGCACTTCAGACATGAAATGTATGAACATTCTCTCTTGCAGACCCTTTCCATTAGTGAACTGCTATCTGGAGTTGCTGTATACTGAGATAACCCATCTAGAACATTTACATAAACTGCAGTTTACCATTTTTTGTCAATTTGGGTGTACTGTATGCTTTAGATCATTTTTATGCTGGAATGTCTATTTTCAGCTAAGCATGAACTTCTTGGCAGAAAGAATCAGGCATCTGGCCAAAATGTCTTGGTAATTGCTGGAGTTCACCGTTTTGATCAGTGTGAAACAACCCTAAAACATAATAGACCCACCACAATATTTCACTGTGGGCATGAGTGTTTTCTCACCACGAAAATAATAATCTTATTGTTCTAAACATAGACAAGATGAGCATGTCTGAAATGTTCAATTTGCATTTCATCTGACCATAAGACATTGTTTCACTTGTCATTCAAATCATGTTTGGCTTGTTTGAGTTGCCTCTTTTGGGGGTTTTGCCCTCAGAACAGGCTTCTTCCTTGCATCTGAATAGATGGTTTCTAATAGATCCTGAAGTTGCTGGTATGTATTGAAGATCATTAGCTGTTGCCATTGGAACTATATCCCATTGCATATACAGTACTTCCCAAGCTAGCAAGATACATTTGTGTTGTCTTCCTGTCAGGGTGGCCACTATACAAATACTTAATTTATGGAGGTCAATGACCACTTATCTAAAGCCTTTGAGGAGCTCTCAGACACCATGGTGACGCACACTACAACTGATATCTGTTTGTTACCTCCTTTTATACTGCAGGGAAAGAGGAAACCATTGGAAGTAGTCATGCCTACCTACTGTATGCAGCTATGTTCCAATATATTTTGGAAGACTTGATTGAAACAAAACTTTTCAGTCAAATCTAATGTATTTGCTATACAGTATATTGATAAATTGAGCTCAAATTATACTGGAATATGAACATATGAAAAGCACACAGATGATAGCCCTTTTACACCATCTTGTATCATATTGTACAGTAGAAAATCATGGCTGTGGTTTACCATGGGCAAACCTAACGGGTGATTTTAGTACTCAGGTAAGAGGACACGCTTATTTCGAGGGGTGCAACATATTACTTGAGTAAATTATTCACCCGAGGTTAACAAGCAGCTTTATTCCTATTTCTCAGGTGGGCTCAATCGATGTTCAGCTGGTGAACAGGTCTCGGTACTCCAGAAGGACTAGGACAGTGGGTGAACTTGTTTGGCTCTTTAGGGACAGCAGGTTATTTGACAAGGCAGGGGTCCAGATAACAGACTGTTCTGTCACATCACCTAAGTTTAGTGCAGCCATGGATTGCTGAGTAACTCTGAACTCGACTTTGTCTTTACTGTACATTTGCAAATGTGAGCGGTTTTTGTGGCTTGTCTTTTATTTGAAGTGGCGTCTGTTTCAGTGTAGATGCAAACATTTCTTTCCTGTGCCTGAGGGTTGATGTAAGGTTCTGTGACAAGTGGAAAAAAAAATAGCTATTGTGTTTACCATTTGTTTTCCAGGAAGCATCTCAAAATAAAGTGAAAGAAATGCTCACATGAAAACTTATTGGTGTGGTTGTTTCACATTTCAAATTGCAAAAGCATGTCTGGTTGATAGGATAATTTAAACTAAGTGTATCTGTCACTGCAGTGTCTCTTTGATTTCTTCATCTTTTTCAATTACTTCGTGATAAGAACCAGAGTATCTATCTATATTCATGTCAATCACATGAACTAGGGGTATGAGTATGTACATTTACTGTACATAAACATTTAGTTTTCAAGATGCGGTTAGCACATCCTGATTAAAGCAAGTGTATTTTTTAGTATTTAGGAAAAGGTTGTTGCATGTTTAAAGAAACTAACACACTTAATCTGCAAGTTCTGCAATGTCGACATGTGACACCCATCTAAAGATCTACAGTTTTCTAAGTAAATGGAGAACATAATGGACTGTCCTCATACTAAGAGTGGCAGAATATAATGAAAGAAATGGTTTTCATAAATATGTTATAGCAGTGATCAAGGCATTACACACAGTCAGGAAGACTGAACAATGTTGTTCTCCGATCAAAAGATTTAAATGGTGCTTTCAACCATTTAAGTGGGACTGGAACTTATTTATTCAGCTTCTATCTTATTATGGAAAACAATTGATTGTCGTGTGGTACAAATAATAAGCTTATGTTTCGTTCAAAGCTTGGTTTCAAATTCAGTATCAGAGCATCATTTTAAATTGTCTTAAAATTTTAATTCAGACAGAGATTGGAATTGGACATTAGCTTGCAATACTTGGCTAAAGATTATGGTTAGAGAATATGGCAATGATGAACTCTAACCTGGGGTACTGTCTGCATGGAATTTGTATGTTCTCCTCATGTTTGCATGAGTTTCCTTTGGGTGCTCTGGTTTTCTCCAGTAGTCTAAAGACATACTGGTAGGTCAACTGGCTTCTGGGAAAATTCTGTTTTTATGTCTGTGTTGCACTAGGATGGACTGGTGTCTCATCCAGGGTGTACCTTGCCTTGTGCCCATTGCTTGCAGGGATAAGCTCTGGCTTCCCCACAACCCTGAATTGTATAGAAAATAGATTGTTAGAATATAGGAACAGTTACAAACAAGAGGAGACCATTCAGTCCATCACGGATTTCTTAGTGCATTTTGGGTGATGATCTTATCTCAAGCATATTTATATCCATTTGCAGCTGGCTATTGGTGGAGCAATTTGAATTTACTCAACCATAGAACAGCGGGGCCACTCCTGGAGACTCGAATCTACAACCTCCATACTGCTGCCTGTGTTAATTGCATCGCAGGAATTTGGTGTGTGTTTTCCACACACCTCTGTCATCAGTTCAAAATGGCCATCAATGAGGCCCTATGAATCACTGACACAAAAGCCTACACTGTGATATTACCATTCAGATGAGTACAGCAAAAGCATCAGTATGAATGTTGCACATCTACCAGTGCTGCACCACTAGCTCTGAGGACAAACAGAAAGATGCTTTTGAAGAGCTTGGTACAATCCCACACACTAGCATTATGACTTATTTCCCTTTCATGTACATCAGCCACAGTAATGACATAAAACTGGTATATCCCAATGCAGCTCTTGCGTTTGGGACAGCACAGTTTTCAGTAATCGTGAAAGATTAGTTTATCTTTGACCTCTTTTGTGCCCAAAAGCAGGATGAGATTTCTTTCAAAATCATGCAACATATTAAAATGTCTTTGAACAGTGGTCACAGAAATAGGTGACGTAAATATTGTTAATGTCTGCTTCATTTTCTTTAATTAATGTTATTTAATTATTCGAATCGCTCAATAATGTATTTATCAAGCAGTGATTTATCTTAGAAGCAGGAAAAAGTATTCCATTTGAACAACTTTATACCAGAACAGACAGGAAGAGATAATATTTTTAACGAAAACTAAGAAAGCTCTGTCCTTACAGACAAATGTTAAGTTCACTCATGCTGCAGTGAAACTGCTGAGTCAGAGCAATGTTCTGAAGAGAACACAACTTAACTGACCATTAAAAAGCATTAGGGTCATACTTGGTTTATTAATCATTCTTCTTCAATTCTATGATTTATTTGTGCGTTTATGGCCTCCAGACAAAATAAAAAGGAAGCTAAATCCGAATTTATAATAAATAATAAACTTTATTTTATATAGCACCTTTAAAGGTGGCTTCTCAAAACGCTTTACAGAATGTCAACAACAATAAATAAAAAGAATACACAAGATAAAATACAATTACAATATACAGAGGAGACCGAAGATGGTGGTACTAAGAAAAGCAGAGGGGTGAAGAATGGAACCAGTTCAGTAAAGGCTTTTCTAAAGAAGAAGGTTTTGAGTCTGGATTTGAAGGAGTTTAGAGAAGGTGACTCTCGTACTGTATATCCTTGGGCAGACAGTTCCAGAGCTTGGGGGCATAACAGGAGAAGGCCCTGTCACCCATACAATGTAGACGGGAATGGGGGACAGTAAGGCGACCAGAATTTGAAGAGCAAAAGTTGCGAGGTGGGGAGTAGGGCAATAATAGTTCAGACAGGTATTGATTTCCAAGCCATGCAGAGCCTTATACTGTAGGTGAGCATGAGGATTTTAAAGTCAACCCGGAATTTGACAGTAAGCCAATGCAAGGACTCCAGGAAAAGAGCAATGTGATCACTTGCACTAGACCTGGTCAGGATTCTGGCTGCTGAATTTTGGACATACTGCAGTTTGTTCAAAGTAGATTTAGATACCCCAGCGAATAGAACATTACAGCAGTCAATTCGAGAGAACACAAATGTGTTGATCAGCTTTTCAGCCACAGTTAGTCATAGCATAGGGCGTAGTCAAGCGATATTACTGAGGTGAAAAAAAGATATTTTGACAATATGGTGCACATGTGGGTCGAATGTTAATCCAGAATCACTCCAAGGTTTTTCAATTTAGACTGAAGCTCAAGTCCAGAACCATCTACAGATAGGGTTACAGGATTGGCTTTACGAAGTTGATGGGGGGTGCCAATAAGCATGACTTCAGTCTTGTCACAGTTAAGAAGAAGGACATTTTGAGTCATCCAAGTTTTTATGTCGGAGATGCAATTAGATAGAATAGAGACAGCCACATCAGTGTCATGTTTGGTATGGACGTACTGTGTATTTGAGTATCATCAGCGTAGAAATGATAGCTGAGGCCATGTGATCTTAAAAGCTGACCAAGTGGAAACATGTAAATACTGAAGAGCAAGGGTCCCAGTATTGAGCCCTGAGAAACACCAGACTTAACAAGACCAATTTCAGACCTACATGTATACCCATTAAGAGAGACAAAGTGACAGCGATCAGTGAGGTAAGACTTGAACCATTTGAGAACAGTGTCAGAAACTCCAAACAGTCTCAAGATGATAAAGTAGGATTTCATGGTCAACAGTGTCAAAAACAGCACTGAGATCAAGAAGGATGAGTATAGAAAGAGAACCAGAATCGGAAGCTATTAGAAGATCGTTAGTGACTTTGACCAGGGCAGTTTCCGTGCTTATTTGTGTTAAACGTTCTGGCCACTATTATCCAGTCTTCAGCGAGATGTCACTGATGAAAGCTCAGTGTAGTCAAATATTATTTATTGATTGAACCAGACCACCGCTTGTTTGTCAGCTAGTGCTAACTAACTTGATACCGTTAGTTTAAGTACTCTAACAACCCAATAGATCTTCTGACCTGCAGCTATTCTTTTTATATTTATAATTAATAACAAACGTATTTAGATTTCTAGACTTCTGTGCTATTCTATACTTCAATTTGACCGTGTGTTTAAACGGGGGAGGTTTAATTGTAATTGATTTTACAAACCCCCTCTCCAGCCTAAGAAGAGTGAAGCCCTGGTGAAATATTGTTCTATATTGAGGATCCCCAAACTACCACTACATAGTTGAAATGTATTCTGCCATTTCTTTTTTTTTACTCACAAAAACGCTCACTGAAAACAGTAACATCAATAAAATATTTTTTTGTTGTAGATACCCCCCACAGCATTTCCACTGGGGTTTATAAACTACTTTATGAAGCCGTCATTATGAAGACTGCTTCATGTACATCCATATCTCCGATGTGTTAACTTCGGTTTCATGTATTGTACGTAGCAAGAACATGTTTGTGCGATCCCACTAAGGTTGAAACTTTGTGCACGGTGACCAGACCTGAAAGTCTTACCTTCTGCAACACAAGCCTTTAACAATTGACCTTTTCAGAGCCAGGCACCCACTTTTTTCACACACACACGAAAGAGGGACTTTATTTTGCTCAGCAAAAGCTGTGTGTGGGTGAGGGAGCATCATTCTGAACAGCAGTATGCATAGTTCTTAACCACATCCTCACTCCTAATACAGTCAAAGCAAAATGACGTTGCAGTTACATGCGTTGGGGCTTTATCAACTAAGGAATGATCGATCCGCGGCAGAAGTCAATGGGCGCGTGTGAGATGATAAGACAGCTGAAGAAACTGATTTTTTTATTTAATTGAAGTCAGGAACTGAAAGCTACCATTTTTGTGGATTATTTTTGTTCTATCGCAAACAAAGAAAAGGAGAAGGTAAATGCTGACAAATTCTCGCCAATCTATAACGTATGTATTTTTTTACTTCACTTCAGCTGGTGTTTTCCACTTACAATATGCTTTGCATGTTGTTGTTACAATTTAGAAAATGTGTGGTTCTGAAGAAACAATGTTGCTTTACATTTGATAAAAAAAGAAAAGAGCGGCATCCTCGCTGTTCAGCTCCATCAAGACGCTCTGAAATCCATTGGTAGGTTTTCAAAAGTGAGGATAGTGACAAAACTCTCCGCAAAGAGTTAAAAATACAGTAATGTTTCGATTATTCATTCGATTAGCGACACCGGTACGGCTGTTGTTCCCTCTGTCTACTGCGACCTCACGCATGTGACTTGCAGTTTATTCCCTTATTGATAGTTTTATCCATGTAAACACTCGTTTGGGGGCTATGTAGCTAATATACGGTTAATGTAAAAGTACTGTATGTCTTCAAACGTTTTTTAAAGGCGAACGGGTTTCCCTTAATGTAATTTAATCTTAAATATTCGTCTCTACCGCTTTTTAAAATTAATATTTAGCAATTTCAGAATTTCAGAAATAAAACTCAAACATAAGCACAAAAGGAGAAAATGTGCTGCATGTATTTTGAGGTATTCAAAAATATTGCTTTTTTCTTTACTGGGTTAGTACCTGGGAATCTGTTCTTTAAAAGCAGCTAGGAAGAAATATCTGATTTGTATATCTAGGCAGGAAGAGTTAACTGCATAGTAAATTGTATGCGACATCTTAACGTTGTTCAATAGTTTCAATGAAAATACAAAACGGATGTGGTATTTTCCGACTTTCTAAATTTTAAATTTGTATTACATAAAATCATTCCAGTAGAACCGAAAGAGGGAATATTGCAATATCATCATGAACATATTATTTATAACCAATTAAATTAACTTTTCTATGTTGTGATGTGGAATGTATCAGACGTTTTTATGCTGAGTGAACAGTACATTATACGCAAGAGTTCTCCACCAGGGATCAGACGATCCGAAGATGTACTTTCTTTTTCAGTTCCCTAGAATTTTTAACGAACCTTTTTTAACGAATAAAAGCATTGAAAAGCTCCATTCAACAAGATGTCAGAAAAATGCTTTGAAATACACAGTGATTCAAATGTTTCTGTGAATCCCCCACACTAAATTCTTCCTCGTTTACATGTACAAAGTTGTTATGTGCATATGTATGTACTGTATATCAGATATATAGTTGTGTGAGAGTATATGTGTTCCCTTTTAACTTAACAATGATATAAAAGGGAAATTAGGGACTCCAACTAGACTTAATCAACAGATGTATAGATTACAGTAATTCCAAGAGCAGCTCTCAAACACACACTGTCAAAAATCAGTAGAGCTTTGACTCACTGGGAAATTTTTTAATTTTCTAAGATAGGTATAGATAGCTGTTAACTAATGCAGGGCATTTAAAAAAACTTTGGTTTAAACCAAGTACCTGTTAATATTGATTGTTTGGTGGACTGGGTGATCGATAGACTGATTGCTTAACTGAGTGATTTATTTGTTTATTCATTTATTTCAATCCTCAGTGGTACTCAGCTCGGCTCTCACTGGTATGCAATCTCATTGATTCTTTAGGTCTCTCCTTCTTCACGATCATCTTAAAAGGAGTATAGGAGATTTATTTACAAGTTTAGATATGTCATTAATTCGTCAGGTGAAAAGAAAGCTACTGTACACTGTGCTGCTGGATGAATTTTAAAAAGCTTTCTGAGTCAACTGTTACATCACAGATGTAAAGCAAAATGAAGTGGTGTCAATATGGTACAGTATTTTGTCATATATGCTTATATATGCTGAAATGACTTGACTTAATCTATTCATGTTGAGCAGCTAGAGAAAAGAAAGCTGAAAGAAGATTAGCCCACAAAGCTCATATTCATCACACATGCCAGTGGAAAGTGGAAAATTCCCTTGTTTTTGGTACATGGCTTTTGCTTGCAAACATTTTTGAGGTTTATTGAGCTTTCAGAGTTTTAAAATGTCAAAATTGCACCTTTGTTGGTACAGTTGCTTATTGTTATTTCAAAAGCATTATCCTTCCCGATGATTTAGAAAAGTATTTGTCTGCTGCCGTAGAAATTATCAAAGAGTTACATGATGGAACTTTCATACAGGTGCCCTGCAGAGAGAGCTGAAAAACATTAACGAGAACTACCACTGAGAGATTCATTAATCACATATCTAAGCCACAGCTGTGGATCGGGGCTGTCCAGTCCTGGTCTCGAAGGAACAGTGTGTCTGCAGGTATTCTAAATATATTTTAAGCAGAAACACCTGAAGAACTGGAAGAAATAGTTTAATCAGTCCAATTAGTTAATGATCAACTGAGTTATGTTGCTGTACTGTATAATGCAAAGTTCATTGCTAATTAAAAGAGCAAGTGGAAAGCATGGCTTCCTTAACTGGAATCTAAAAGAGCACTTCCTCTTTTTCCATCAATGTGGCTGTAGTTAAGGTCATCCCTTCACTTGTTTATCTAGTAAAAAACAGAGAAAGAGAAGCAGCAGGGTTGGGTATTGAAGTGAAAGTATCTGTAAGAAAAAAAAACAAGTGGTTTTAGTAAAGCATAAAATCCTGACCTCAACGGATTTAACAAAGGTGCAGATGTAAACACAAAAGTCGGCTGTCGGGCTCTGAATTAAAAGTGAATCCATGGGTCTTGTGGCCTCCCGCAGTTTTGTTGTCACAAACTGGGCTTTAATGACAGCATAAAATGGTAGTGAAATGGAAGTGAGAGGAAAGAGCTCTTGGCGGTTTTTAGAAAGATTACTCTTGTGTTCTGAGGATTTCAGCAAGCAATAAACCTCATAACAGCATCGGATTCCTTGCCATGTCCAGGGTAAATTATTATTACACAGTCATAAATTGCCTGAAAATCTTTTTCAAGGTTCATGCGAGTGTCTTTATGTGTAAAAACAGTGCAGGTGTATTGGGGCCACTGATGCCAACTGATGTTTTTAGAGGCCATAGAGGGTTTTGCTCTTTTTGCAAGTACTATTAAAAAATATGAGCTCAGAAAATCCCTTTCTGACACAAACGATGACAGATGATATGTTCAACAGTATTTCCCAACTAAATCTTCCATAAACAGTTCCCCTCACAGTTTATTAAAATAATATACAGGCACGTATGATGTATGGTCATTCACTGAAGGTCAAAGGTCCCTCAACCTGGTCCTCAATGCCACATTTCAGCAGGGTTTCTAGGTCTCTTAAAATCACAATGTTTAAAACCTGTTTGAGGGGTGTTAGACTGGTCCAGTCAAGGCTTAATTTTACATATTTATTTGCATCCTGCATACTGAAACAAGTCATCCATTAACTTATACTATGTTTAAATGTCAGTGTTTCTTCTAAGTTTACTGAATATGCTTTTATCCTGGCAGTGGAATGAAGTCATAAATGTAATGGATCATAAACACACACCCCTTTTCAATATGTCCTTCCCCATCTGTTACCACTCTTAATAGCTGGTGTGTCCTGATATGGCATTTTTAGGTGGGATTATCATCAGACACCTCTTCTTTCTGCAAGTGTCTGTACATCGCCAGGGTAAATTATAGTAATGATCTATAGTGACAAAGAAAAAAGCTGCTTTCAGTGAAACTGCAGCAGCAGTCTCCTGTGTGTCACAACGCAGCATTAAAGAATCTGATTAAAAAAATGTTCCCTTTCAATTAAAGGTATTTTTGTTTTCTCTATCCCGCAGGTTCCCTCAGCACCTTCAATGAATTTATAGTGACTTCATAGCTTCCAGAAGCACCTTTGGTCTGGCCCATCACTGTCATGGACACCTTACAAGTCCTCGCCATTTTGTTTCTCTTTTGTCTGGTTCCACACAGTAGGTTTTCTCCCTCTTTCATAACTATTTTTGATTAATTGTATCCAAAGGAAACTTTCTGTGCAGTTTTCCGCCACACTGTCATTTATTGTTTCAGTGCATTTGAAGGTTATTTAGATGCTCTCACAATGTCCATTCATCCCTTTGCACCAGTGTCATTTAGAGAGTCTTCTTAAGATGGTTATGAGCCTTTCAAAATAACCTTAAACCCTTAAATGATCCTGTCCAGAAGAGAACTAAACACAGGTTTCCTGTAAAAGACAAGTCTTGACATTAGTCATTCCTCACACCTACCTTCATTTGCATTCATTGTACTCTGTATACAGCTGTTGAAGCAACAGTGCACCTGGCAAACATTACCAGTCATTGGTACTTATTAGCCCACAGGGCAAATAAAACAAAGTATCTCTTAATAATCCACCCTTTCACAGCATACTGAAAGGAGAGGCATCATAAATTCTAGTAATTTTAAAAGATAAGGATGCTGGGTGTTTACATGTTTAAATACAAATGTGATTGTGCTTGTGATGACCTGAAATCAATACATAATGCATCTTCTTATACAGGCGCTTAGAGATTCTGGTTCCTCCTGCGACCATAAGTGTTAGATTAAATGGTGTCTGCAGTTGGTCTACACTAAACTAACCCTGAAAAGTCACTGAAGTCTTCAGCAGAAGCTAGAGATGCAGAGGGGTGGATTGGGGGAGTGCAATTTGAACCATTTAGTCTTTGACACTGTATTTTTTCCAAAGAACTTAATAAAAAATGTAATAAATAATGTTTGCAGCACAATTCTTCATTCATCAATTCTTTCTCTTCAAAACATGATTAGCTTGAGCCCTCTGGAAATGGCCAGGACTAGTCTAGTTAACATGGTCAGAACTGCTTGAACACTTGGTCATTTGAAGAAAACTAGACAGACCTGGAAAGGCCATTGGTCTGTGGCCCTTAAAGCCCAGAATCTGAGCTGCTCACTGCAGCACAGCATGATTTCCACATGTGCCATTCACATTCTGAGGAGGCAAAAAGTCTTCTAAGGAAGATTCCAAAATGTGGAAATGTATTAGTCAAGACCTCCTGACTTGTGTATTTCTGCTCATGACTAACTCAGAGATATTAAAAGTGGCAAGACTCTGCCATTGTGAACGCAGCTGTTCCTGAGGGGGGATGCAAATAATACCTATACTTAAAACCTTCCCACATGTCTCACGGGCCAACAGACAGGGTGCTGGCTGTCTGCTGGCCCGTGGGCCAAGTCTCTATTCACTGTTCATCTTACCTGTGCCACCTTGGGGGTTCCCACCTCACTGGATGAGGTGACTCCGAGAGGAGAGGCCTTTTTGTCTAAAAGAGGAACTGGCCCAGCAGCAGAGTATGCTCATTGTCAACACTTTTTCTTGGTCACTTGATGACTGAGCTAAGAGACGAGACTTACTTTGGGAATTTCCAGTTTGTTAGGTAAAACAAACACCAAAACATTAACAAGATAAGCCAAGTTGCCTCCTCTAATTAATTATCATGTTGGTATGAAATTATTGCAGCTTTCATTGGGGGGGAATATGTATGATTATAATTCTGTACATAATTATATACCATTTTTCTTTTCAATTTTTGGGTGGTCTATATTCTGATGAGAATTGCAGTTGGTAAAAAAGACTGGTGTAATACATAAAAAACAAACTTTCTTTAGCATATGCTATCTACAGTATGTTGAGAAAACCCACAACACAGTTTAAAACAACAACAACAACACACATCTAAAAGTCCAGCACTTTTAAATAACAGAAAATCATTTTGTCTTTCCAGTTCGTACGTTACCACTCATCAAATTTGCAGAGACAGATGTTTGCACTGCCTTTTAGAAAATCAAGAGTACATTTTCCACTAGAGTAAAAAGTTTTACAGTAGCCTTTCAGAGGTTGAAATCAGGATCCTTGATAATAGCATTGGATTTCTTAACCATGCAGCAACTGTCAGGTTAAGAAAGCGTTCTTGACTGTTGTACAAGAGTGTTATATACAGTAACTCCCACATGGGAAAAGACAAATTTGTCAAATCCAAAACACGTCTCTTTCTTCTCTTGTAGCTACATGCACCTGCAGTGTGACCTGCTTCACCGACTACATTGACTCTCTGAGCTGCTCCTGCTCAGACACTCTGACTTCCTCCTCCTTTGTCTTGGTGGCAGCTTGTATGTAAGTACACTTGCCTGTTTCTGATGCGTCTCGAAAGAACAGTCTAAACCTTTTCACCTTACGTGACTGGTTCCCTGCCATTAAATGTCAGCAGCTCATCAGTCTTATAAAAGAGGTAATGCGTCTGAAATTTAAAGGGCAAGTGGTTAGAATGACATTTTTAAAAAGTGAAGTGTGATCATTTTTTCCCGTTTCTTTAGAAACAAAATATGTCAAAAGATTAAAGAGAGGAGTGTAGTGAAACAGTGTTGGATCTGCCTGTGCCACAGTGACATTCAGCTTCAGTTTATTAAAACATATTCCATGGTGAGGAATTTATTTGGAATAAAACAATTTTGTGCCCACTCAATCAGAATGCCAGAATGACGTAAAAGCTGATATTACCAACACTTCACTACAACACACCCACTAAAAGGTTAGATTAGATCAAAGAAGGTTTTCTTTGCTTGCTTACCTGCTTGATATTGAAAAGAATATACTGGAATCCAGCACCTAATTTACTGTCTTTGTCTGTAATGATCATGTGTTGTATTTTATATTTACTAACTTGATGCATTAGAGTCATCTAGAGTCATGCATTTTGTAAGGACAGCCTTCCTGATAATTCACTACACTGTAATTTTTTAGTTGTCTATGACTTTACTTTATGTTCTGCACTGTATAATGCAACTGTATTACTATTGGGAGTCATTATGAGTAAAGCTGTCTGCCAAAGTATAAAAGTAACTAAACAAAGAACAACATTTCAGTATGAAGACTACAATATAAGGATATGAAACAAGCTGCATATTAAATTACAGGAAGAAGCAGACCACACAGTCTGATCTCTTTTATCTGTACTTGTGTTTATTAGTTGCATTTTCATGTGTGTTTTTGCAGAAACAGGATCAGTGTTATGTTAATCACGTTCTCAGTCAAAACAAAAATACGTTAATTCATTCACCTGGTGTACAGTGAGAACCCAGTCAAGCTGTGGTTTTCCTGCCCCTGAGTGTGGAGAAGCTTTTACTGTAGTGGTCGTGGGCAGAATTCAGAGCATATTGCCCTCTAGTGGCAGAAGGACCTAATATAATACTGTATATCGCTCTGAGAACATAAGAGTGGACAGTTATTACCGTAGATGTAGACTTGAGCTGGCTTCCACAAAATTTCCACAAAATGTGAAGCCATGCTTTTATTTTTACCTCACATTCCCTCTGTTTATATCATTTTTTGTAGCAGTATCGCTCATTGTAACTCAATAAATAGGAAATAGAAAAAGAGTTGTTTCATAATTATAATTAAGACCTATATTTCTTTCTACAGTCAACTCTCTCTCATACTCAACTTTTTGTAATACACATTTCACTAATTTTAACTTCAAAGGGTATTTCTCAGAGAAATCCAGCTTAATGGTAAACTCAAAGTAGGGGAGCACCCAAAAAGCCTGCCCAACTTCTTTGGCCAAGGTTATTTTATCCCTGTCATGTTAACATATTGTCTTCATGTCCTTTATAGAAGCAAAATCCATGAATCTGTATTACTGTACCATCCCTCAGAAGTGAATACAGCTATGTAAACGCTGAGCCTTTCAAGTGCATCAGTAACCACTGAGAACTGTGCTCAAAGAGTTCCTTACAGCAGGTGTCCTTTTGAGAGGAAGTTTAAAGTGGTTTTTAAGCGAATATTTTATAATAACATTGTCTTTTCTCTTGCTTTCGTGCCTCTGCAGGACCGATGATGAGGAAATCTCTCATGCTCAGTGTGAGATGCAAGCACCCCGGCGCTGGTGTGACATGACTGTGGGTGATGGTTTTTTGGACATGAGCATGTTCTCCAGCTGCAAGGTCTGGGTCAATAACGACACAACTGACTTTACTCAAGTGTACCTGAAAGCAAGTGGTAAGTTAGTGAAAGGCTTGGTGGACTCTCAGGAGTTATGGTGTGTTAAATATTCCTTCCTGAAGTTTTAATGTAATTGTTCTTTAAGGAAGAATGTGTAAAATAACTGTTAATCCTGCGCTTTGTTCTTCTGAAGCCTTAATAAGACTTAACAAATGCTTTGCATGATTCAGTCTTCAGGAGACAAGTCCTCAGGTCCTTGATGTTCCTGTTCAGGACTGAGGGTGTATCCATAAAGTCCAGTCCTAAGCAACTGGAGACTCCACCTTTGGTGGAAGATAGTTGGAGATTCCAGATATTTTTAAAAAAGGGACCTGCATTCATGAGCTAGTTTGTCATAAGTCCTTTTTTCCATGCTGTTATCTTTCTACAAATCCTAGTCTTTCCTTATGTACTCTGTGTCTGTGCCCCAAAGTAGTTTTTATGCTGAGTTAAAGGAACTTACTCTCAGTTAACAACAAGGTAGTTGTTGTCGGAGGTGGAGAGCAGTACTCTAAACTTATGAGGGGTATTGTGTGTATTTTATACCATTTATTCACTTAGCTTTAGCATGGTTTCCCACAATTTGTGCCCATGAACAATTTGTCATGTTTTTACCACATTTCACTTTGCCATGATGTACTAAAGTATGTTTATAAGAGTGGGGTTACTTCACGTCTCTTGGAAAATGTAATTGCACATTGTCTCAGGTGTCTTCTATGCAATCCTTTCTGGCTTCACACAGAAGGTATCACTGGTCACAAAAACCAGCCACTGTGGTTAACAGTACGCCCCCAATGCAGAGGCATGTGACTCTGTGAAAGTCACGTCACCTTCTTGTTTTCAGTTAGCAATTCATATAAGTCCAGTGGGAATCTATTGCAGTTGATAGGATTATTTACCAGTTCCAGTAAACAACTTGGTGATTTCTGAAATAAATGAAGGATGATTTTTAAATTATTCCTAATGAACATTTTTCTTATCAATCTACATACAGTAGGTATTTTTAGAGCTTTCCCATAGTTATACCCTGTTTTTTTGTGCCTAGTTAATATTGCTAGCAGTTTCCCAAAGTGTGAGGTTGGGCTGCACAGGGTCTACCAGGGCTTCTTTTTCCCATGTTACACTCTGCACTCCACACTACGGTAGGATTTCAGAGGACTTCCAGGCCAATTTCACATCTTTGTAACCTTTGTGTTTTTGCAGTGAAACCTCAGCCCCCCTTCAATGTGCAGCTACTGGGAAATGAGAATGCCTACAACCTCTCCTGGGAAATGGTGTACACGCCGGAGGAAAACTATTACCTCAATTCCGAATTGCAATATGAAGTGCAGATAGGGGAAAAAGAGGCACCTCCAGAGGTAGGAATTGTTTTGGAGTATTGGAAGTTAGTCAGAAGCTTTGGAGTGCAAACAAGTCATGCTGTGAGACAAAGCGGGACTTTGGGACTTTAAAGTGAAAGAAGAAGTTGCATCAAGTAAGAATTGCACCTCTGTTAAATTGATATTGTAGTTTAACCAAGTTTGGGTGGAAAACAGGAAGCCCAGGCACTATGAACAAAGAGCTGTGGGAGTCTGAAACAAACTCCCATACCAGTGAAGCTGCTACAGAGGGATCCTTGGATCATGAAGGTGCTAATCTTCTCATGGGGAAGAATAAAAGGCATCCCCTCATTTGAAAGCATTTGTCTGTTCTTTTGTCTTAGGTTCTAAAGAGTTTCTTCATAATTCCCTCTGTTCTGTGCAAAAAGCAATTCCTGATGACAAAGCAACAGAGGATTTGTAGAGAAAACTTGACCTTACACTTGCAATTCTTTTTGCAAACTCTGACCCTGTTGTCAAGCTCTAAAACTTACAAATTATGAGTCCACTGCAACATCCTTTAGGATGCTAGTTTGCATTCAGTGCAGCATCAGGTGTTGTGAAGTCTGCTGTCAGATGTTACTGTGAACTACAAGGCATGCACTCTTCCATTGGTCCAAAGGAAGGGCCCCTAGCTGGAGTCTCTCCTGAAAGCTTAGGGGTGTCAGACAGTAGCTTCACAGTCACACCTTGGGTGCACTGAATGGGCACACTAAAATGTGAATGTGCTGACCCTACGTTTAAAGAAGATGAGCACTGATGTGCAAAACACCTTCATATCAAGCGATGTTCACATATTATGAAGAAATATAAAGGACAAAAGAGAGGCACAAATTAGAGCTTGTGTTGTAAGTGTATGTGTTTTCTGTATTGTGTCTCAAATTCCATAATTTCTTCCCAGGAGCAGAGAAATTATCCCATCACAGACGACACGAGATACCTCTCCATTCCGGATGCTGTTTTGAAGAAGGGGAAGAATTATGTTGCTAGGGTTCGGGCCCAAGTCCGACCGCATACATACTCTGGTTCCTGGAGTGAATGGAGCCCCGCAGTTGAATGGAAAACAAAGTGTAAGGCTCTTTGATCTAAAGCCAGAGACGACAGTTTGTTAGTCTTCAGGCAAGGCTATTACTGGCACTGATCCATCACTTATTCTTACTATAAAAAGCTCTTCTGTTATAGAAACGATAAGTGTCTCACTGGCTAACAATCCAAAGAAAGTTTGTTCCTCCTAATACTGAATCACATTTTGACCTTCATAAGGTTTTTTTCACATTGACTCAGTCATTCTCCCTATCTGCCATATAAGTGCAATGATTAACAAACTTTTACTGAGGCTAAAATAATTGATCTGGAAAAGGAGACTTATTAACTGTCACCAAGGAGGAGGTGTATACTGGGCAGTGAATTTGGCCTTTCTAAATGCAGATGCTTAAGTGTTACTGATCGCTGCCATTTGTCTTTTCTAAACAGCTGAAGAGGTGGACCAGTACAAGTTTTATGGTTTTCTGTCACTCATTCTGGTACCTTTTGTGCTCCTGTGCTACGTGGGGAAAATGTAAGTGTCACATTAATCTGTCTATTGTTATCTGTCTGTGTTAATCAAGCATGACACCAGAATGTCACGGGCATCATAAAAGGGCAAAAGAGAAAATACACTTTCAGCAAATCTCTTTAAAAAAAAACAAGTAGAGCAATTCTGGTATAATAACATCGACTCTGATAAGTTGCTTGAATAAATCTGTCTTTAAAAATCAACTCTTTCTGAATGAAATGAAGGATATCATTAAAATATTAAATAGTGATTTATATTTTTGGAAATGGGCTCAGAGAAAATAGCATCAGTATCGGAAAATAGTGAGTGCACCCTGAACTGCTGCTCAAAAGAAAGGGTCTGGAGAGCTTGAGCAGGAGTCTGATGGTTATTATTAGATGGCACAGAAGCACCACTGCACACTAAGAGTCTTGAAATATCATTTTGATCCATTTGGATTAACAGAACTCACTTCGAAGTCCTGTAATTCTTATTGCTTTCATCCTTGTTTCTGCTAAATGAAAAAGCAAATCAAAAGCATTTCAGTTTTTGTCAAACGGTGCTGGGATTGCAATCTAAACTAGGCCAACCGAAATTGAAAATGCTTGACCTGTATGCTTGCAAGATCTCTATGTTCTGTCTCTCGGCCTACATCTGTACCTGTTCATATCTCCTCAACTTCTCACCCCCCCGACTTCTGTCAAGCTGACCGGCAAGACCAGCTCCACACACTTGCCTTTAAAAGCTTGTCTGTCTTTTCCAACCTTTAACGACCGAGGCAGTCTCAGACAGTCGTGGGGGTGAAGAGAATCGGGGCACCAGCAGCATCTTCAGTTCTGTTTTCACAAGCGTTCAGCTTTTGGTGGGTTTTGCTTTGGAGTGACACAGGTGCCTTTGGCCACTTTTGCTGAATTAAATTTTCATGTCTGTTTCCAGCATGGTTTCTATTTAAAACAAATTGTCTTAACACCGTGTGAAACAGAGACAGAACTGTGCCGCAGGATGTGTGGCAACAGTAGCCATGAAACGAGTGACGTAGGCCAGACCTACAGTGGAAAACACAGTGGCATTTTGAATATGTACATCGGTTTACATATTCAAAAACTGACACAATTAGAGAAGATTAAGACACCTTTTAGTATGATAGCAGCAAATAATGTTATATTAAATCCATGCTGGATGCAATTTCAGTCTTTCTTTGTGAGCAGAACTTAATTTATGAGGGGTATTACAGACATTTAATATACAATTCAAAAGCTACAAGGTATGTACTTAGGTTGCCTATAAATTAGTTACATGTTTGTCTGGTCCATTATATCTGAAATTGTGCTTGATTAATCATGAGCGCCTTTTCCTTGCAATACCTCCTACAGACAAGAAACCACAAGCCTTGCAAGTCATTTCTGTACATGTACAAAATAAGCTAGGTGCAGAGCAATAAGCCTGTGAACGCAGGAAACGTGCACTGCAATGTGTTCTGGCTTATTTTAGAAACAACATCATTTACCCATTCAAAAGAGTCAGGAGACGTGTGACATTGTTTCATTTTTTATGCATTCTGCAAATGTTGCAAAATCCGTAAAGATAGAAATCTTTGCAAAATATCCAGAATTGTCCACATATCTTGTGATATGAAGATTAAATACCAAACCTGACGATTGTCATGTGATTCTACTGCTGGTGGCAATAAGGTTTATGTCTAATAATTCTTTGAACAAGGAGAAAATTGATATTTCTCTTCTTAAATTAGATGTGCAATATTTAGTTTGCATGATGTGGCCATTTATTTTCAATGCACTTCGCACAGTGCACCCTAAGAGAGTGCTGACACTGTCTTGGGCTGGTTAATTTGTCACAGTGCAGCAGCCTTTATTACTCAGCACCTTTCATGCATCCTGTTCAAAGCCCCTTCTCCACATTTAGTCATGCTGTGAGTCATGCATTTTGTACATAGGTCAGTGTGCTTTACCACTCCTTAAGCATCACAAGAGAAACCTCTTGCAAATGGGGCCAGACCAAGCTGCTGGCCGTGATCCTGAAGTGACTGGTTTACCGCATGACATTTGTCTGTGACAGCTACCCCCCTCCACAGACTGACTGAAACACTCCAAGATCAGACACTGGTCCTGTACCACAGCTGGGAGATTATATGAAAGTGCAGGTGACAAACATTATCACCAGCTGCTCACCCTGAGAGCTGCTGATCATGCGGAGGAGGAGATGCGGGATATTGGCCTGTGCGCTCATTGCTGGGTGATGTCAGGATGAGTGCATGGGCAGCAGTCTGAATCTGATGGCTTCTTGCACTGTGGGTGTGGACGTATTTTCACTGACCTTAAGCTAGCCCTCTTTGCTTCATGCTTGAAAAAACAGGCAATCAGAGCAAACAGAGGCATCAAGGCTGGCATCCCTGGGGTAAAGAGACCACTCAGTTACTTGGAAAGACAGAGAACAATAGTGAGAGGTTTCGGATTCCCAATAACATGTGGGTGCATGTTCTATGCTGAAGCAGAGCAGGCTTTCGGAGATGAATGCCCAGGCCATAGCTCTTTCAATATTTCTTCTGACATGTTGTTATTTATCACAAGCACAAAGACTTCAAAACAACTTCTGTGTCACATGCCGTTTAATAACAGACTGCAAGGTACACCACACCAAAATTCCTTAGTTTAGCCAGGGAAGGAAGCAGGAGTTTATTAACTCCTGGAAGTGTTTGGACTCCAAACCTTTAGCCAGTTAGTTCACTTAATATCATGCGGTACTAGATTGTGAGTGATCACTGTTATCAGAAATATGTGATGGAACACTATGAGAGAAGCATGCGAGTTTGAAGACAAAAGGAAACAGTGTTTGGCAGTGCCACCCAGTCTTTTCTAAAAGAATGATGTTGAAAGGTTGGTTTATTTTTAGTTTTGTTTTTCAAAATCTAGCAGAAGTCTTTTCTGCCCACTTATGCCCTTATCTGATGAAGAATGTGAGGGAAAGAGGGGAGACAGGGAAGGGGTGCTGTCCCTGCTGCCTGCCCACATGCTGTAGCTTTTCCATCCCTTTCAGCAGTTTCCTCACGCCTACTTCTGAGACACCTCTGACTGGGGAGACATCTTAACCCCACCACCTCCCCTCTCTAACCTCCCGAAATGGAACATATTAAGAAGAACGTCAGTGTTGTTTTCTAGTTTCTCTGTGTTTTTGTTTCTCCTGTGGGGAGACTGTCACCCACTCAGCTGGCCACAGTCAAAGTTTTCCTACAGCCCACGGCCAGTGCCTGTTTACCCTGCGGCCCTTGTCCAGTGTCTCCAACACAGTGTCGGCCACAGACCTTGAGGGCTGTCTTCTCCAGAAACCCTTAGGAGCATGCAGTCCTAACAGTCTCTCCCCATTCGTTTCTCCACAGACTGCAGAAGAAGCCCTACCTGCACTGTTACATCCCCAGCCCTGAGGACTTTTTCAAGCCCCTCTACGTTAAGTACGACGGCGATTTTAAGGTAAGAAAAATTACTTGAAAAGGAACCACACCATCTCTGGCGCGTGTGACTCACTCATCTGCAGCTTGCCTGTGTCAGTGTCAGCCCAGAGGGGGTTTCACACAGTCGAAGGACGGAAGAGGGGAAATTATAGGAGGAGCCTTGATGAAACACTTGCCCTGTTGTAAGCGCAGTTCACACTTCACGGAAAATACCATGAGCTGTACCACAGCTCCAGCAGTTACACGTTTAGCTCTTGAGGACTATTTTTAGCTGTTTACAGTTCTGGAGGGTAATTTGAGAAATATTCCAAAAGCTCAAGGGGGACCCTCTTTCAGAAAGCTTTTTCTAATCCAAATAGAATCAGTTAAATAGGTTAAGTCACTTTCAATTACATAGTTAAGAAAGAAGGAGCACTTCTTTCTCTTCAAGTATTATTAAATTCAGGAAGGTATTATTATTACAGTTATTATTACAACTGTACAATGCAGTAGCAGAAGTAAACAAGCTACCAGTTTCCTCAAATTGCATGAGACAAATGGCTGTGTTGTAATATGACAGAAGTAACTGTGCATTTAAGAAACAGAAAATCTGGAGATGCTACTCAAGAATTCAGACATTTTAACAAACTAAAAGTGTCACCAAGAAGTGATACTTTCAGGATACTTTGAATCATAGGTAGAATTGACTTGGAATGGCCTGAATCAATAACACGTGTTTCGAAGGACTGTTTTGCAGTTCAGGAAACAAGCCAGCAGATCCATAGATACAATTGATCTTCAAACCTTGAACACATTGCATGGAGTAGCTGTTCACCTTGCTGGGGGGTGGGGGGAGTGGATGGGACTGTCTTGTTCTTTAAAAAGAGAATCACTTTGAGGAATTAATAACATAACCTGAGGCAAGAATGTAGCAAAGTTGCTTGCCCAAGTAGCATCATTATTTACTGTAGGTACGATATAGGGATGTCAAATCATAGCAGGAGATTCAAATGAGAAGAGGTCATTCAGCTTGCACATTTATTTTGTATCAAATCAATGAGAGACTGACAGAAGTGGATCTATCTGTTGTTGTAAGAACATAGGAAAAGTTACAAGCAACTGGAGCCGTTCTTTTCAATTTATTTTTTTTAGTGTAACAATCTAAGAGTCTCTCCTGCACTTGCTCATGTTCCTAAATGATTCAAAATTATAACTAATAATATTTTTTATTATAATTATTAAGAACTGTTTAATAATTCTAAGAATTCTATGAACTGCCCGTTGCACAAATGAACAATGAACAAATAGAAAATGTTTATTACAGAATCCTTTACATATAAGTAGAATAAATCTTTTGTATTAATGGTGGAAGGTCAAACATGGTGTTGTTGGGGTTGAACTGTCAAGTCTGTGTTTTTGTTTCAAAGGTCACGTAAAAATAGTTTTAAGTACTCAGTGTGTTAGAAATCCACATGCAGAGACACAGAGTTGATCATTGTGGTTTGTTATTCGGTCCTTCCTGTAGAAGCGAGATGTTCACTAAACAGCTGTGAAAGCACACAGTGCAACAAAAGTCAATCGCAGACAATTGCACTATGCTGCACACTCAACATCTGCTTCAAGGGAAAATTTTAAGCATATTTAACCAGAAGGGGGAAGCACTTCACTGTGTAAATAAACGACACAGAAAAGGCCCAATTTGTGCTGGTGTCCCTGTGTTCACTTGACTATTTTACATGTGTTACACTCATTGATGTACCTATGGCCATCCTATATTTGAAAGAATGTTATTTATTAACTTATTAAGAGCAGCAGGTGCACTGAGACCTCTACCCCAGCAAGTAGTAGTTAAGACATTCACGCAAATTTACCAAGGTGAGGTGCAAGAAGCCATAACTGTAACATCTGGAACTATATGCACACAGCTAGTCTTTTAGTATACCTCTTGTAATTATTGTATCACCCCCTTGTTTAAAAGAGGATGCTGGATTTTGTTTCTCTAATCTAAATAAAGTCCAGCCACAGTGAGCTGTTGCAGATCTGGACTTTAATCTGGGTTGCCAGAAATTAGAAATCTGTCATCTTTAAGGTGGACAACTATGGTTCTGGGTGACTGCATGGTATTCAGGATGTCCACATAACAGGTCAGAGGAAACTCTTAACCCTGCTGAGCGCAAGTCTATCATCTCCACCTTCCACCTTGTCTATTATATGAAAAGACAAAAGGGAACAAACTGAATGTGAGGTCACTGTAATTTCCATTCAAAACGTACAGCTGGAGACATGAACTACAAACGTTTCCTAAGGGTGGGTATAATGGTCCCACAGCAGTTCATTGGTGTGAATAATCAGGAAGCAGTAGTTCTGCATGAAACAGGATTTGTTTTTGTTGTGTTTTGTATTTTGTTTTTGGACTGCATGGCTGATCTAATCTACCCCAAATCTTGACACAGGGCTCATGGGTAGCTGTAGGCGTTGTTAGGCAGACACCCACTTATTGTGTCTGATTCTTATCGCTCGTGAAAATAGCATTAAAACAAAATCACAGATGGCAAAATACCTGGTACAGTATTCTTCCTTTACTCTGCAAGCAATGAATACACCTTTGAAAGGCAAAATGCCTACACCTATTGAAAAATACTCAAAAGTAGTCAGTCACAGAATGACGCATTAGTGTTGAGAAGAGAATTTTATTTTTTTATTAATTGTTTCATTCTTTGATTAAACATCAGCATTGGGAAGGAATATGCACAGATAGACACCCTCTATTTCTGGTGGCGAGTCTGGCCTCCCATGTTTTCATGTAGTAAGTGTGGCCTCTTGTTTGTTGCCCCTGTCTTAACTGTACCTGCCCAGTGACCTATTTGGAGACTGCTCCGGTGTTTTTTATTAAGTGCTGTTTGTAAAAGCAACTGCACATATCTCACACATGTCAAAACACAATCTCGTCTTCATTTATCTTATTTAAGATTAGTGTTTGGCGGAAATGCTCTTTTTATCGAATGTAGTGCAAAGGAAGCTAACCAAGTACCTGAGGTTTAAAGTAACAACTTTATTTTGGTTGCAAAAAATAAAGGTAAGCTTAACGGTATTAAAATATCTCAGATACAGCCCACTGAAGTTTCATCTACTGTAGTGACAAAAGTCTGACTGTAATAAAGCTGACAATGCACTCACAAATGCATACCTTGTTGTAATTGAGGTTATGTGAATTATATCACCTCTAAATTCCATTTAGAGATTCAGATAGCCTTGTCTATTTTTGAGTAGTCATTGCACAAGAGTCACAATGTAAAAGTCTTTATAGAGTGAGTACTATAAAATTCTGTAAATCAAGCAGAAAACAGGAAGGCTGCAAGCTCTGTTTGCTGGTTTCATCTTCTTCCTAATCTGTGCCACAACAGCAGTAACATATCCATGTAAAATGCCTGTTCTGGTCACCCCAGAACAAGGCAGTTTAAATGTTCCCTGTTCTAAGCACCTGAGGAATAAACACATTATACATTCAGGAGGACAACAACTCAGAGGCAAGCACAATGAAGAGCATCAAAACACTCAGGTGTGTGTAGCTGTTCTGTCCATTCTGGGTGGAGTCTATCCACCCACCTGCAGAGACTTGTTATGCTTTTGAGAATGGGGTTTCTAGTTACAATGTGGGAAAAGTGTGCAACTCTGATTGATCATAAAGACAGAAACTGAAACTGACTGTCCTTCACTATTCATAAGATACTACATAACTATTTCTTCTGAAATGTACAAAAACTGTGAGAAAAAAATGAGTTTTTTTTCTCATATGTGAGAGTTCAATCAATCTTTATTGACAGAAAAGCAAAATACAAAGTGTAGATTTTCCTCCTAAAACCCCACCCTAAAAATAAAAAAAATCATAACTGGAATATCAGTCTTTCATTGTTCACAATTTTGCACAGGATGTTTTCAAAACACCAACGTTTTTCAAAAGTTCAGAGGTCGTTATGAGATTTATAAAACATAAATTCTAACTATATCCTGTTCTTCACCAACCCTTCAAACATCTTCACCAAGTCTACAGACCAGAGATCTTATTTTTCCGAGTCTTGTAGATGACGAGTTTGGCCTGGCCCAGCAGAAAGTTGCCAAGGAGAGTCTGAGTTTTTTTCGTATGACCCACCTCGAACACGGAAATAATGTCATTGAAGGCCAGGCCAAGGTTCAAACAGGGCTGACGGTATGGGAGCCTCTTCGCAGAAAAGCAGACATTATAATTAAAAGCAAGATTCACTCAGACCCGTGCAGAAAAGCACCGCTTCAAGATGTGTTGTGAAAATAAAATGGGATTGCTAATCCAGATCTAAAAAATAAAGCTGTGGCCATCGCTGCTCTTACTGAAGACACCGAAAAGGGTTAGCATGATGCAATTAATAACAAGGAAATGTATGGATGTCAACCTTTAGAAAAAAACTGGCTTCACTGAAGAACTCGGGAGGTTTTTGAGAAATCCTTCTCCACTCCCTTGAAGAAATGCATCCTGACAATTTTCCAGGGAAGGGCCGAGTTCCCTTTAACAAATCCCGAATACAAACAGGGATCTAAATATATGGATTCTTATGATGACCTTGGGAACTGTTTGGTCTTATCAAAGCACACACAGGGGAAGGCAGACGTGCATGTATTGCTCAGGATGACTGGAGCGTATTTTTATGTTGGAGGCAGAGAAAGAACCACCCTGTTTAAAAATAAGGCAGAAGCACAGTGATGCAATGTTGATTTCTTTCTGGCCCTTCATGAAAGGCTTTTTTGCTTTAATGCAAAAGCCTGTCAGTAGCTCTCATCAATCTTCATGCCACACTGCCTGCTCAGGTGCATGCACACTAGGTGGGGGCTGATTAGTAATTATAGCTTAAGATGACCACAAGGCTTTCAAATTGTATTTACAGTCATGTCAATTCAGGGCTTTCACGTCACGTCACTAAAGTGAATAAGAGTAAGCACAGTATAAATAAAGAGCTGAGAGGCATTAAAATAAGCTGAATGCACTGAAAGTATAATGAAGTAGAGGCTAAAAGATACTGGAGGTATGATCTTATGTATGCTCAGTTCTTAAGATCCTTCACCCATGCCAATGAGGTATATTCAGACTTGCATTGGGTACCAGCTGCATGGACACACAGCAACACTGAATTCTGACATATCTCCTCTTATCTGTTCCATATTTGGATTTTACTACAAGAAAACTAAACAGTCGCTCTTTACAAATTAAAATGCAGTGCTTGTCATTATACACTCTTGCTGTAAAGTAATGAAACTACCCTTTTTACAAGCTCCCAATTTTCGTAATAATCTAAATAAATACTTTATTGATCCCGTGAGGGAAATTGCAGTGCTATTATTTCCTTTTTACCTTTCAGCTATCTTGTGGTATTTAATGTCATAACAAACTTTGCTGAAGCATGGGGTGCAGGCTTTTTGATGGAACGATCACCTGGAGAAGCCAAACAAACAAAGAAATCTTTTATATACTCACCCAATGTGGACTTGCCAGGTCTGTGTTTTTCACATTCTGGCTCACAGCTACAAACCCTGTAAGCACACATGGGGAGAATGAGGAAGTGTAAGCAGGCTCTTCCAGCACACCCACCTTTGAGTCACAAGGCTACAAAGTTCTGAGTAAAGTCATTTTTAGGTGCACTTTACTTCAGAACATGCTGTACTGTAGCTTTTAAACATGAATATAGAAAGACTGGAAATACTTATTAAAGAGAATATAAGACAAGATGGGTAAGAGTAACACAGGGAAATCTACAATTAAGTGGATTTAATTAAGACTCAGGAGACATAATTCTCTCTGTGGCCTGCACTGCCAGTAAGAAACTCCTGAGCAACAACCTCAATGACAGTGCTGGGCAGAGCAGACACACAAGCCTGTAGTTCTCAAGACAAACATAGTGATGTGTTTATAAGTCTCTGCAACAGCAACATGGAGGAAAGTGCTACTAGATGCATTATGGGATATAAAAGCACCTTTTTGAAAATGTATAAGTGCAAATCTTCACAAATTAAAGGTAGAACAAGAAAGTGACCAGGTATCATTTATGCAGTTGCATCTCTTTCACCTTGTAGTGAAACTATTGTGCAGCTCTCATTCATGCATCCACTCAAAGGTTATCAGTACGAGCCTGCTGAAACTCATGATCATTTCTAAGATTTAATGGTAGTGATAACAAGATTTATTTGTGCTCTGGGTTCAGTTCAGAGAAGAGCAGCCAGATACATTCAGAGGCTTAAAAGAATATCATACCCTGACAAACTAAAAGAGTTTAACCTTTTTAGTCTTGCAAAGAGATGAAAGGATTTTTCAAGAAATAACTGGATGGGATCCTTGGACCTTTGAACTTCTACCAAACATGCTAGATGGGTCAAATGGCCTCCTCTCATTTCTAAGATGGCCTTAAAAGGTTGCAGATTTGCTTGTGATAACGAGGCTCAACAGGCAGATCAAGTGTTACTTACAGAAGTGTGTTAAGACAGCAACTGAGAAGGTTTTGTAGTAGTGGTATCAAGAACACTTGTAAGTCATGTGGTTACAAATTTGCTGAATCCCCACAAGATGCCTAAAGATAGGGTTTCAAAATCAGCAATTTTCTACAGTTTCACAACCTACAGCAATGCCGTTGATCACCCTATTCATTCTGTTTAATGATTCTCATAGAATTGTTTTAAAAATCTAACTCTTGAACTCCACTGTTTGTTTCCTGTGCCCTGTCTACAAGCCAATGAGTCCCCAAGCAATGTAAATACAATAGTGTGCTGAAAAAATAACTCCTAAGTGTTCCCAAGTGCTAACATAACACTGCCTGTTATAATACCTGCTTCTGCGCGTAATTTTGAAGAGTAACATCCGCATTCGGTTTCATTCCTAATGTCTGTGCTCTTGTGTGTGTTTTCTCTCAGAAATGGGTAGGCCCAATCAGCACTCTCCCAGTGTTCGACCTGGAGAAGGACACCGTGGTGGCTGTCGTGAGTGACAAGCAGGGCTCCCTGGAGAAGCTGTGTAAGATGGAGGCCAAGGACAGCAGCAAGGACAGCAAAGGGGGCCGTGACAAAGGCGACACCTCATTCGTGAGTGTGTCCACCGGCGACTGCTCCAAGCTGTACTTCCCCGGGGCCTCAGGCCAGCTGACCGACAAATCGACAGGCCACATCTCCATCGACACAGTCACAGTGTGGGGCGAGGAAGAGCAAGATTACCCTGACAACACCCTGGGGGGTGAGGACCCATACAGGGGCTGCCAAGGAAGCCACAACTGCTTTGACTACCCCGCCTGCGGCCTGGACGGGCCCTCCAGCCCGGAGCAGGAGGGGCTGCTGGGCTCGGCGACCAGGAGGTGCGACGTTATTTCCTGCGGTCATGTGTCCGCGGGCTACAGGAGGAGCCAGGAGCCGAGGCTGGGCCTCGAGGAGAGCTCGGCCAGCTTGCCAGCACAGGTCGGGCTCTACAACCTCTATGGGTCCAGAGTGTGGCCGCTGGAGGCAGGAGACAATGAGCTGGAGAGCCTCTCCCTGGATTCGTATGCTTCCAACGACAGATCCGAAGATGATGGCTACCCAAGGGTGGGCTTGGATTTGGACACCATTGACAGCGGGTTTGCAGAATCAGACTGCAGTAGCCCGGTCCAGTCGGACTTTGCGGACAAGGACCAAATGAATTCTGCCGTGTTAAATGACCAGGAGCATTGCACAAACTATGTGAAACAGTGGGTTGCGTACACTTCAACAGCGTCTGGGGAAGGCTGCTCCTCTAGTTGAAGCATGGGCCCATGGACCTGGAACATCTCTGCAGAACAGTGAGGTATTGAGCTGTCTCTCAGCAGCCTGCCCTCTGCTTTACACACATCTGTGGATGTGACTGAGCCCAGAAGAGACAATAATGGACATAATCTTTTTTTTACAGTTACAATTTGCATGCAGGAAGATAAGGTGCAAGTGTTGTTGGTGTCAGGTCTTTTCCCTTATGGTTCAAACTGCACTTTTAATTTGCATTACTGCCTGCTTATATTTGCCAATACCTTCAGAATGTACTGCTACACTTTGCGATCCCTCTGCTGTGGAAAAGAGGTAGAAACCATTTCCCCCGAGCTGAGCTACCTGCTGTTTTTGACCTAATGGGCAAGAAGAACTGTACTAACAAAACCCACATGCTAATCAGAAATCCTTACTGACAGAATGCAATGTTTTTAGAGATTACCACAGTATTAAATAACACATACTGGTATCTTTTTAGGCTTTTTATACACAGTATTAAGTAACTTTTTTAACTGTATAGCTTGCTTGGGTTGATTGATTTGTTTGATTTTCAGTGTTATACACAATGGAGGGACTCATTCATGTCTTTTCTCCAATATGGTACAATAAATATCAATTTACTCTACACTGATTAACCCAGAGGTGGACTGGACTAACCACTGGTGATCAATCAGCAATTGAAACAAACTGACAAACCAGTCAGGTGCTTTTGAATGATCTCTGTGATATTTAATACATCTTCATATTATACTGCAACATAAAACCAAACCTATTAGATTAAGAACTATTGTTATTCACCTTTGTCGTTTCTTGTTTTATATATTACACATTGATCTGTTGCAAGCCTGTGTCTCTTACCTGTGTTGTAAGAGTGCCATTAAGACTTTTCAATGATATCACAATGCTGTTATGTTGGTATCTCATCCTTCCTCTTCTCATAATCTGGTCAAAATGTCATCTCTTTTAATCTCTCTCGCATTCAGTCACACAAAGGGGCCTGTCAGCCCTCAGCACACGCAATGCTGTGGTTTCCATGAATAGGGCAGAGAAGCAAACTGAAACATCAGGCTTAAGCCCAGGGAACCTCTGAGAATGAAACACTGGACTGTGCTGAGGATCAGTGCCATCCAGACCCTTTTTCCCCATTGAGAGTGAGACATAAAGATGAAAATCCTTATGTAGTTACACCCACAACTCTGTAAATATACAGTAGGCACTGGTACTATTCGCAGCCTTACTAATAAACAGTAGGCAGTGGTACTGTTCACAACCCTAGAAATACACAGTTATTCTTACAGCACAAGTAAGACTTGTATGTTTATATACCTTTAGCTGATGCAAGTGTATTTTTAAAGACAGAAGGGAAAACCCTCAGTGACATTATCTTTGTGATGTTGAGGTTCATTAGTGTTTGTGTTAATTTTATTTGTTTCTTGTACTGGGTACTGATACTACTGTAACTGACTCCTACAAACGTGGCACTTGCACGTGAACTTGCCTGGATTCTGTCTTAATTCTACAAGCTGGTTTTCTGACATTGTTTTCCAGTGCAAAGACATGCAATGTCTTTTGGAGTGTACAATGTAAAATAAAGATTGATAAAACAAGGAGCACAAAAGAAGGCTGTTTGAATTCTGAAATTGATGGGACTTGGGTGATCTTTGTATTATTATTTTTATTATAAAATTGTTATCTTCTCAGCTTTTCTGCTGGTTGCTGTTCACCAGGAATCCACTGCATTCCTTAGATCCTGCTATTGTCCGATGGTCAGGACTTTGCGGAGTATGTGGGCTGTCCCGAGGAGAGCGATCTTCTGCACCTGATCCGCACTCGCTTTACCTGGCAGCTCCTCGAGGTGCTTTTGAAATCCGAGTTACATATTTCCAAGAGCTCTGACTACGGCTGGGATCACACCACGCCTTTGTGTTCCACATGCGCGATATCTCAATCTCAAGGGCCTTGTATTTGCTTCATTTTTCGACCTCCTTAAAAGACAGACGTTTGCGTCATCTGGAACAGCTACATTGATGAGAACATTTCGCTTCTTGCTCCGATCAGGATGATGTCCGGTCGGTTTTCTCCAATGGTATGATCGGTGTGATGATGATGATGATGATGAACATGATGGTGATGTTCTCCGTCTCCACAACATTTTCAGGCTGGTGATCGTACCAGTGATTAGGCACTTTTAGGCCAAGCTCTTGAAGCATTGACCAGTGCAAGTAGCTAGCTATTTTATTGTGCCGATGCGTATATTCTTTCGGCGCTAGATTAGAGCATCCAGGAACAATATGGCTGATATGCTCCTCTTGTTCATGACACAACCTGCATTTGCCATTCACACCCATCTTGAGGATATTCCTCTGATGATAATGAGTGTTCAATGCCTGATCTTGAGCTGCCGTGAGAAGATTCTCTGTCTCTCCTTGTAGCCCAGAGCTTGGTACCCATCCAAAGGTCAATTTTCTGTCAACATAATTGTTAAAAGTCTGTATGTAAAACTGACCGTGGAGTGGCTTTGACAAGAGTTTGTTGATTTTCTCTTCGATGAGCAAGGCCTTCATTCTACTCTTGATGAACTCCTGACTAGATGTTTTTGTATGGGAGTTGATTTCAGGCTTGATGTATCGGCTCTTGGTTTCCTCGCCGATGTTGACCAGAGAGTATTTCTTCTTCGTTTCTTCATGTCTTATTATGAGCCTATTTGTCGAAAGCTTCCTTGATGCACTCGCTTAGGCCAACAATTGCGCTCTTGTATACAGTTTCCACCCCAGTGAGCCCCTCGGCCACAACTGTTCCTAGGTATATATATTTGGTCTACATCGGCTTTTGGGTGCAGGAGACCATGCTTTGTTAGCAATTTTCTGGTCTTCCTATCCATCTCCTGGATTTCCTGCTCTCTCCAGTCGATGGTTCCAAAGCTGTACTGCTAAGCTGTATATCTTGTTCTTCGAGTTAAGCTCAGTGCCAAGGATGAGTCTGATTCGGCGGTACTATTCTTACTGGATTTTCTCTTTTATTTTGTTGAATACCATTGGTTTGGTCTACACCAAGGTACTTGTAGACCTTGTTCAAGATTCTGGATTTCGCCGTCATCATTTAGTCTGCTGTTCGGGCCAGTGTCAAGTTTGCCTCTCTTGATGGTCACTTTGCAGCACTTGTCCAGTTCAAACTCTATCTGGATGTCATCACTAAATGTCTTGACTATGCTGGGCTCTTGATCCAGCTGACCATCATCGTTAGCGAACAGCTATGTAACGTTCATGTAAAGCAGATGGCTGACCCTGTGCTCTTTATCCTATGTTACCGCTGTTAAGAAAATTAGTCAGTGGAATCATTGACACACAAAATAGCAGTGGTGACAAGGAGTTGCCTTGGAATAGTCCCCGTTTGATGGCAGTTCTACCAGTCTTATTATTATTATTATTATTATTATTATTATTATTATTATTATTATTATTATTATTATATATACCTAATACTTATTGTACTTATTATGTTGAATTGATAGTTTATCCAAAGCATGTGTACCAAATTACACAGCAGGGTACTGGAGCAATGTGGGGAAAGAGGATTGAGGCTTGCTAAAGAGTATCTGAGCAGAATCTCTCTTGGGATTTGAACCCACAGCCTTGTTACATAAGCAATATTAAAACAGCCAAGTGTATTGCACAGGATTTAAATAACAAGACTGTGTCTGAGCAATTTCTATCATGAGAAAATGTCCTGGCTTGCAATGTAGGTTTTCATTACATTACATTCTATAATGGTAGATTTCATTACTGAATTGGGAAAAATTAACTGAGACAACAGGGATGGGTATCCCATCTCCAGACAAGAACAGAGAAAGGGCTGGAATAAATCCATATTTATTTAGGACACATCTGGCTGTGCAGAACAAGGATTTATGCTTACGCGAAACAGATACTGTCCAATGTTGCCTGTTGGTTCTGAGATCTCAAACGCAAAGGCATCAGTTTTACAATTATCTATATCAGCATCTGAGCATTTACTTCACACGCTGCTGTGTCAGTTGATCAAGCCTTTTAGGAAACAATGCTCGTGTGATGAATCCACCCCTGCCCTCCTGGGTAAAAAGCCAAACCATAGCTAGCTAGATTCAAACAATTTATCATTGTGTCATGCTCTGTATCGTGAAACAAAAAATATGAATGCTTTCCACTTTACTTCCTAATAATCATTAGTGTTAATACCCTGTGCTGTTAGCTTGCTTTATGGCATTCTGAAGTCTGGTGATGTCACAAGGAGTCCTGTTTCACTGAGCTGGTACTAATCTGGGAACTCTGCACACAGATTTACTGCATATTAAATGGATATGAAGCATGTGAATGAGATTGGATTGGTTAGGATTGATATTAATTATAGGTCTAACATTATTACAGAGTTAATTGTACTGTGCCCAATAATACTTTCATCAATTTCCCTACGGGATTAATAAAGTATTATCTATCTATTACAGAGTTATAATTGTACTGTGCCCAATGTTTCTTTAATGAAGTGATGGGATGAATTTTACCCAAGTGTTTGTCCATGCAGATCTCCTACACAGCAGCTGTAAGTGAGATATATTATACTCACAAGTGGTGTGAAGGCATTGGATTGCCTGCAGTGTAGTTGTATTTCACTTCACCAGTCACACTTACCGATGCAACAGGGCATTTCTTCCATGTTCCTGGCGCAGTTCAGATCCCAGCTACATAATGCTGGACTGAGGACAGATACTGCTGCATTCTTCCAGATGCCCCACAAGCCAAGATCTTAAGGATGTTAAGGATAACTTGGTAGGCCTCAGACCCATCTAGCTCTCCTATACTGCTTTCTATAACTGTAAACCACTACCTGGGGGACTTTGGTCACAGCTAACCTCTGGGAGCTGAAAAAGAGAGCCTGATCTCTGAGCCACACAGAGCTTCATCTTTTTCTGCTAAGCAGCCATCTGTACTGTGTGCCTTGTGATCACACACTTCCTTTACAAAGTTTCTCTTCATTGTTAAGTAGTAAAACACTACACCCATATAAATATTGCATTTACAAGTAAAGAAAAATGCATCTTCTTATTGAACACAGCATCTGTCTTCTGCTTCACTCACTGTCAAGGCCAGTTTTTCTACTGGCCATCCTGGAAACAGACACCTGGACACATAAGCACTTGAACTTCTCTAGGTGGCCCAGGTATATCAGGAACATAGTTGAGCTACCGACTGGGAATTCTAAATTGGACAGGCAAACATAAGTTGCAACCTTATTCATGGAAGGAAAAATATCACACTCTTTGCACCAGATGATTCCCTTAGAAAACCCTATTTCTTACAAACTGAAAAATACAGTTTCCAGTCTTAACCAGCCAAGTGCACATCAATAGCAGAACACAGGAGCCATTTTTGTACAGCGAGTCCCAGTTTTATGACTCTGATCAGAGCAATATATAGCACATTAGATAACTGATTGAGATTAGTTCTCCTGCTCGTAAACAACCTTGTTTTGGTGCCACAGGGTTTGGGAGTGTCCAGGAAGGACGCACCACACTTAAACTTTCACTGTAAAGTACAATACTGAAAAAGCTATGCCATTTCACAAGTATTGTAAACACAGGTAAAAATGTTAATGTTTTAATACTATGTTGATGAGCCGTTTCATATCACAGCCCTTTAACATGATATGATATAGAAAAGATAAGAGTGTTAGCAGTTACAATGCAACACAAGCACATTTCAAATTGGCCTCTGAGTTTAATACTAAACTAAGGCCTAGCACATTTGGCTATTTTAAGAGAAAGATAAAACAACCTTATAAATTTTGAATTTTAAGTAGAACGTTCAGTGTTTATTATTTTTCTACAAGAAAATGACAATGTTTTCAAAACAGAAGTATCAGAACAACCGCTGGACGATTGTAATTATGTGTAGGGAGCCTATCAAGAAAATAGATGAACAACGTTTTTTAAAAAGGGTGCAACCTGATTCGTGCAAAGACTTGAAAGAGAATCTGCTACCTGCTGTGTCTAAAAAAGACAACAAAATTAAATAGTGAAATGCTAAAGGTGATTACAGGCAAATGCTACAGTGAGCAATGGTTTTGTTTACAGAATTTAAAAATAAAGACTATATACTGCACTCCAGAATAGTATTCAAGCTCACAAAACTAGCAATGAGATGACACTTTCAACCTGACTCTAATTCTGGTCCACAGCAGAAAAGCACTTTCTATATAATGACCAACACAGTCTACATGACTTCTGTGGATCTAATCTCCAGGATTGTATTTCAGTTTTTATTTAAAAACTGAATCAAAAGCTAAATAAGGATGGATTTAGGAAGAACATAAATCAATTGTTTCTGTTTTTGCTAAATGTTATACACAGCAGAAGTTTAAGAGCCATTTATTGTGACAACATGAAACCATAATATTTGTCTTGGCTTTAATTTAATTTTCTTTCTTGTCACAGGTGTGTTTGGGTGTGTGAAATTTCTTCTGTGATCTGCAAATCAAAGTGCAATGGAAAAGTGCAAATTTGTGTTATTGTTTTTCCCGAAATGATAAATATAAGAAAATTGACTTCTTTGTGGTCTCAATTAATTATCTGTTA